GAAGAAGAAGAAGAAGAATGGAAGAACAGAAAAGAAGAATAAACATACCTTCAATGATAGTGAACAGCAGCCATCAGTCCTTTCTCTCTTCTCTTCTCCTTTTTCTTTTTCTTCTTCTTCTTCTTCGATTATGTTCTTCTCTTCTCCTTCTTCTTCGATTTTCTTCTCTTCTCTCTTCTTTTCGGTTTTTGTTTTTTATAGTTTGGGCCCATTTACAAGTTTCAAAAATTGCGTTTTGTACCCCGCGGTGTCCGAAACGTGTTCGGCTACAAAAAATTCAAAAAGAAAAGGGGACACCATAGGGAGAGTGTCGAACACGTGTCCACAACGTGTCCGATGCGTGTCTGTGTCCGACACTGATATGCTGGCCTCGGGGAGGTGTCCGTGCTTCATAGGTTGGAATTGATTTAAGAAACAAATTTGAAATGTAATAAAGTGTTGACTATCTAACTTTGGTTCATTTTCGTTAGTTGATTTATGTGTTTATCCTGGTTGATTTGTTGATTTTCGGGCTTGATCCAGTTTATTAATATTTAGGCTTTGCCTAGGCGTATATCCGATTTATTAATTTTCGGGCTTTGCCCCAGTGGGCATGCGTATAGCCATAGTTAGTCTAGTATGACTGACAGAGATAGTCGGCTGTTGCCACTTTCTGCAGGTTTGATCCTTGGACACTGCATAGTTAACCTCAGGCGAGAGGGTGGTGTGGTTTTTCTGACACTTGGCTCGGAGTGAATAGGGGGTGTGAGAATATATTGCATATATTGTATTTTAGGAATTTAGAATGATTGTGATTGTGTAAATATCGTATTTCATTTTTTAGTCTTAGGGATTAGAGTTCTATATAAGATGATGTACTCTTTGTATTAGAAACACAATTGAATATACTATTCTCTTCAAAAATCTTATAGCTGCATGATCAGGGTAGGGTGTTTTTGTATCAAAACCCTAAAAAGTGTATTATATTATTTGTGAGATTAGATGAATAATCATATGCATATTGCTATACTTTGCATGAATTTGAGAAATTAGAGAATATTGAATTAGGGCTTTTGATCTTCTAATGTTTGAAAGTGCATTCCTTGTTGTATTTAATATTTTTGGTATAAAGATCATGTTGATTAGCTAACTTTGAGAAAATGATAAAATATTAAATTGTATGAAATTTGGGAAAAATAGTGTAGTTAGCTTGATAATGATATAATAAGGCTTAATTAAAAAGATGGCATGATTTATAGTTGATTTGTTATTTTGGTCATATTTTTACAACTTGGGGTTACTTACTAGTTTTACTAGTTTGAGTATTTTAATGATATTTTCATGCCTTATGTTAATTAAATAAGTTTGTTGAATTATTTAATACATTTGAAGCTATTGAGAGCAAAATGGTCTTTGGGATAAAATGGGATTGTGTCGAATTTATCATTTAGGAAATCAATTTATAAAGGTATAAGGGTAAATTGGTAATTTGGACCCTTGGGGTTAAAATGACAAAATAATTTTGGAGTTAGATATTATTCCATATTATAGCCATATGAGCATTTTGTTAAATGACTAGAAAGATAAAATATGTGAAATCTGCCCAAGTGTTGGAATCTAAGAAGCACGGACGCGGGGCACGACACGGACACGTAAATTTAAAAAAAATAGGGAACACGACATGCTGGGGACATGCTCAATATATAATTAAATTTATTTATTATATGCCATAAAATTAAAAAAAAAATCATTGAAAGGTAATAAAAAATCAAAATAACACAAACTAAAATAATAATAATTTTTATTTTATTTTATTGATTTAACATCATATATCATTCACAAATAACATAAAAATCGCACTCCATCAATACATAACATGTCATTCCTAGCTACCAGCCATCATTTGTTAAAAAGTGGGTTACATTCAACCAAAAATGATAAAGAAAAAAAATAATCAAATAGAGAGAAACAAAAGCAAATTAATTTTCTTTATTAAATGGGGCCAAACTGTAAAATTAAATAGTGCCAAATTAATTTTCTTTATTCTTCGTATTTTTCTCTCTTGTTCTAGCTCTCTTTCATAGGTTACATTCACCCCCAAAAAATCGAAAACAAAGGTAGAGTATCAAAGAAGGAGGGAGGGAGGGAGGGAGGAGAGGGAGAGAGAGAGAGAGAGAAGAATAAAGAAAAAAAATCGAAAAACAGAGATTGAGAGAGATCGAAGAAGAAAATCGAAGAAGAAGAAGAAGAAGAAAAAGAAAAAGGAGAAGAGAAGAGAGAAAGGACTGATGGCTGCTGTTCACTATCATTGAAGGTATGTTTATTCTTCTTTTCTGTTCTTCCATTCTTCTTCTTCTTCTTCTTCTTCTTCTTCTTCGATTATGTTCTTCTCTTCTCCTTCTTCTTCGATTTTCTTCTCTTCTCTCTTCTTTTCGGTTTTTGTTTTTTATAGTTTGGGCCCATTTACAAGTTTCAAAAATTGCGTTTTGTACCCCGCGGTGTCCGAAACGTGTTCGGCTACAAAAAATTCAAAAAGAAAAGGGGACACCATAGGGAGAGCGTCGGACACATGTCCACAACGTGTCCGACACTGATATGCAGGCCTCAGGGAGGTGTCCGTGCTTCATAAGTTGGAATTGATTTAAGAAACAAAGTTGAAATGTAACAAAGTGTTGACTATCTGACTTTGGTTCATTTTCCTTAGTTGATTTATGCGTTTATCCTGGTTGATTAGTTGATTTTTGGGCTTGATCCGGTTTATTAATTTTTGGGCTTTGCCTAGGCATATATCCAAAATTCGGGCTTGATCCGATTTATTAATTTTCGGGCTTTGCTCAAGTGGGCATTTGTATAGCCATAGTTAGTCTGGTATGACTGACAGAGATAGTCGGTTGTTGCCACTTTCTGCAAGTTTGACCCTTGGACACTGCATAGTTAACCTCAGGCGAGAGGGTGGTGTGGTTTTTCTGACACGTGGCTCGGAGTGAATAGGGGTGTGAGAATATATTGCATATATTGTATTTTAGGAATTTAGAATGATTGTGATTGTGTAAATATCGTATTTCATTTTTTAGTCTTAGGGATTAGAGTTCTATATAAGATGATGTACTCTTTGTATTAGAAACACAATTGAATATACTATTCTCTTCAAAAATCTTATAGCTGCATGATCAGGGTAGGGTCTATGTATTATTATTATGGCTTGGACATAGAATGTATTGGCGAGGTTGGGTATGGTGCCCTATTGGCAGTTGTGGTTTTTGGACTTATTTATTTTTTGATTTTTTTGTTATTCTAGCTTGAACACGATATGTGTTGGCAAGACAGAGATTGTTGCCTCGTTAACAAGTTATTGATGTCCTGTTGGAAGTCATTATTTTTGGGTATAATTCTTATTATTTAATTTAAGGGTTATTTACACGAGCACCTCCTAAACTATTGAAAATTATCATTTTGACCCCCTAAACTATAAAAACCTACAAATAAACCCCATAAACTATTGAGAAGTATCACTTTAACCCCCTAAACTATAAAAACCTATAAATAAACCCCTTAAACTATTGAGAAGTACCACTTTGACCCCCTAAACTATAAAAGTGTACAAATAGATCTCCTAAACTATAAAAACGTACCAATTGGACCCCCTAATGGAAGGGGTCAACGTCAATAGTTTAGGGGTTCATTTGTACGATTTTATAGTTTAGGGAGCAAAACGATACTTCTCAATAGTTTAGGGGGTCCATTTGTACTCTTTATAGTTTAGGGGGTCAACGCGATATTTTTCAATAGTTTAGGGGTCTCCATGTAAATAACCCTTAATTTAACTAATGTGTTAATTAACTAAAATGACTTAATTGAGTTAAGTAATTAAATTCAGTAATGTGACATTTTATTGCACTTACATTATGTATTACCATACCCACATGTTATTTAAAGTAATGACTTGAGATTATATTGGTCAGCGTGTGGTTTGCTCTGTGAGAATATGCCTATACTCAATTTCTCTTTTTTCCTTTTAGGCTTAGGAATTAGAGTTCTATTAGAATTCTATATCAGTGATGTATTTGTTTAGGCTTAGGAATTAGTGTTCTATATAAGCGATGCATTCTTTGTTCAATTAATTAAAACTAATATACAGTTTCATTCAGAAAACTCACATGGTATCAGAGCCATCACTATTATTCTCTGATTCGAAACCCTAGAACTATCACCATTGTCCTTTGATTCGTGCTCTCTTGGATTCTCGGGTTGTCTTCGACTTCGTTCTCTGACTCACACCACTGCTTCGCGAAGAACCTCTCTCGCGAAGGTCTGCTCTCTCTCTCTCTCTCTCTCTCTCTCTCTCGGTGGTGTCCCTCTCTCTAGCTCAACTTCGCTTCGTGAGATTGCCTCTCTCCCTATCCCTCATCTTCTCTGGATTCTGTGATTTTTTTCAGATCTACTCTTCTATTCTACTGGTTTTGGGTATTTACACTTGAAGCCCTAATTTGTTTTATTTATACTTTGACTCATACTTGTGTTTTATTACAATGTCGGACACTAAAATTCAAGCCATCAAATACAAACTTACTGGTGGCAATTATGCCTATTGGGAGTGTTATGAAGAATTTTCTTCTTGGTCAGAAAAAATGGAGCTATGTTTTTGGTTTTGTTCCTCGTCCATCGGATCCGAAGGCGGAAGGATATCTGACTTCCTGTAATTCTTGGGATTGTGATAATGCCTAAGTTCTAACCTGGTTTCATAATTCTGTGGATGATCGTATTGGAATGATGTTTTCCAAGTATAGTACTGCCAAGGAGGTGTGGGATTATTTACCAAGTGTTTATCAGCAGTCCAACTTTGCCAAGTCATACGAGTTGGAACAGCTATTCAGAGCGCTTGTCGGCAAGATCAGACTATTCAAAGACCTCTATATTGAGATGACAGGTCTCTGGGATCAGTTGGCTCTTATGGAACCACCTATTTTCAAGATACTGGACGCTTTTATTGAGTTTCAGGAGCAAGGTTGTTTAGTGCAGTTCTTAATGGCTCTCTCCCCTCAATATGAGGCTATCCGAGGTGACATCCTTCACCGGGCTCCTTTTTTCTCTGTGGATGCTATTATTCGTGAGCTTCTTTCCGAGGAAACCCGTCTTAAGATGACTAGTCAGACTCTGCCTCCCTCTATCTTCTTGGCTCCTACTAAGCCTCCTTTATTATTGACTCCACCTCAGCATCAGCTGCAGGCTACTGCAAAACCTAAGAAAGGGCCACTAGGTTCAGATGAGTGTGCTTTCTGCCATCAGAGGAGTCATTGGAAGAACTACTGTCCCAAGAAAGGGCGTCAATCTGCTCTGACACAGTTCCATGGTCCTACTTCGGGTACTTTCCGACCTTCTGCCGCTTATACTGCATCTATTTTGGCTCCCGATCTCGACTTGGTTTCCTTGAGTGCTCAAATTGCACAACTTTTGCATATCCTGTCTGCCTCTCAGCCATCCCCATCTGCCTCCGCTCTTACTTCTCTTTATTCAGGTTTGCTTGGATCCTTTTCAAGTATCTCTTCTTCTGTTTGGCTTTTTGATTATGGTGCCTCTCATCATATGACTTCTCACCTTTCCTTCTTCAAAACTGTATTCCCCCACCCATTCCTATTACTATTAATACTGCTAATGGGTTTGGTATGTTTGTTCTGTCTATTGGGTCTGTCTTACCCTCTACCATGTCTGTTGTTACTATTTCTTCTGTTCTTTATGTCCCTCAGTTATCTGTCAGTTTATTATCTATCAGTCAACTTGATGCATCTGGTTTTGATGTTATATTTTCCTCTTCTGTCTATTGTGTGCAGGATCGGGTGTCCAAGAAGTATATTAGGACCAGCCGTAGAGTTGAAGATCTCTATGTGGTCGAAAGTTTGCATCTCCCCTTATTCACCTCTCTAGCTACACTTTCCTTGTTTCAGTTAGATTCTCAGTCGAGTCAGTTTTACTTATGGCATTTTCGCCTTGGTTATTTGTCTGTTGGCCGCTTACGGTCTTTAGCTTAGTCAGGGTGGTTGGGTAAAGTTTCTCCTAGTCAAATTGATGAATGTCAAGGGTATAAACTTGCCAAAATGTCAGCTTTACCATTCAATAAAAATACATCTATTTCTGTTTTTCCTTTTTCTCTTGTGCATACTGATGTTTGGAGACCATTTCCTGTTCTTACTAAAGGGAGTTCTGCATACTATGTGTCTTTTGTTGATGATTGCACCCGTTACACTTGGATTTATCTTATAACTCATAAGTCTGACTTCTATCAGATATACCGTACTTTCCAGTCTATGGTCACTGCACAGTTTGGGTCTACTATTAAATTGTTGCGGTTTGACTTGGGCGGGGAATACTTTAAAACTGAATTCTGTGAATATTTGGCCAAATTAGGTACCATTCACCCAACTTCTTATACTAATACACCTACCCTAAATGGTCGAGCTGAGCGTAAACACCGTCATTTCTTTGAGACAGCTAGGTCTCTTCTCTCTACCTCTGTTCCGGCTTCGTTTTGGGGTGAGGCAGTTCTTACTGCTGCTTTTCTTCTTAACCGTATGCCTACCCCCCTTCTTTCTGGTCGGTCTCCTTATAAGGTTCTGTTGTCTTAACTTCCTAATTACTTCATCCTTCGTGTGTTTGGATCCACTTGTTTTGTCTTTTTATCCCGTAAAGATAGGACCAAACTTAGTGTCCGGTCTGTCTTATGTGCCTTTTTGGGTTATAGTCTCACTCAGAAAGGTTATTACTGTTATGACCCTGTTTCCTGTTGCCTTTATGTCTCCCGCCATATTGCCTTTCTCGAACGTCTACCTTACTTTTAGCTTCCTCCTCTCACCACCCCAGTTTTCAAAGAGAATTTGGTTCATATTGATCAATTTCCTTTTGAGGTCCCGTCTGATGGGTATATCTCCATAATTCCTTCTGAGTTTGTTCCATCTTCTCCTCCTGTTTCACCTTTGGCTGCTTCTCTTCTTTCGGCCTCTTCTCCTCTTCCGTTGTTAGTTTATTCTCGTCGCAAGGCTCCTTCTCCACCAGTTGTCTCTGCCCCTGCTGCTGATAATCATGCTTCTGACGACTCTGATCCTGCTGCACACTGATATCCTCCTCGAGCGCATCATCCTCCAAACTGGGTTGGTCTAATACATGTTTTTCTGCTTGTTATCGTACTTTTTTGTCTGCTATTCACTTTTTTGCAGAACCTCAGTCTTACAAGGAGGCCTGTTAGGATCCTCGTTGGGTTCAAGATATGAAGAATGAGTTGTCTGTTCTACAGAAAACCAGTACCTCGGAGTTAGTGCCTTTGTCTACTTGTAAGAATCTAGTTGGTTGCAAATGGGTCTAGAAAGTCAAGACTCATTATGATGGCTCTCTTGAGCGCTACAAAGCTCATCTGGTTGCCAAAGGTTTCTCCCAAGAGTCTGGTATTGATTATGAGGAGACATTTGCTCTGGTTGCCAAGATGACTACTGTCCGTACTTTGATCCATGTCTCTACTATTCGTTCTTGGCCTCTTTATCAGATGGATGTTAAGAATGCTTTTCTTAATAGCCATCTCACTAAGGAGGTTTACATGCGTCCTCCCCCTGGCCTTCACTATTCCCCTAGCAAGTTTGTCGTCTTCGACGTGCTTTGTATGGTCTGAAGCAGTCTCCTCGTGCTTGGTAGGATTGTTTTCAGACTGCTGTTACCGAGCTTGGGTTTCATCTTTCTACTTCCAACTCTGCTTTATTCCTGAGGCGTACCTCGCCTAGTTTTGTTGCTCTCTTACTATATGTGGATGATATGATCATCACTGGCTCTGACTCTTCTACTATCTCTGAGGTTAAGCAGCATCTCTTCCGCACCTTCTAAATGAAGGATATGGGACTATTGCGGTATTTTCTTGGTATTGAGGTGGCTTTTTCTCCCAAGGATTACTTTCTGTCCCAGGCTAAGTATGCCAACGAGATTGTCCATCGTGCCGGTCTTACTGACACTAAGCTTTTTGATACCCGCATTTAGCTTAATATGAAGCTCAACACTACTGATGGTGTTCCTCTAGATGATCCTATGTTATATCGCGAGCTTGTGGGTTGCTTAGTCTATTTGACAGTCACTTGCCCTAATCTTGCCTATGCTATCCATGTGATTAGTTAGTTTGTTTCTGCTCCTCGCTCTACACATTGGGCTGCTTTGATTCGGATTCTTCACTATCTTCGCAGTACTATCTTTCAGGGCTTGCTATTCTCTTCTACTTCTTCTTTAGACTTGGTGGTGGCCTATGCTAATGCTGATTGGGCTGGTGATGTTAATAATCGTAAATCTACTTTTGGTTTCTGTATGTTTCATGGCGATTCTCTAATTTAAAAGCAAGAAACAAACTGTTGTTGCCCGTTCTATTGCCGAAACTGAGTATCGTGCTATGGCTTATGTTACTGCTGAAATTGTCTGGTTTCGTTGTCTCTTATCTGACTTGGGCGTCCCTCAGTCTTCCTCGACCTCTCTTTATTGTGACAACCGAAGTGCTATTCAAATTGCTCATAACACTGTCTTCCTTGAACGGACAAAGCCCATTGAGATTGATTGTCATTTCGTCCGACAGCATCTGCAGTTTGGCTTTATCTCGCTTCCTTTTATCTTTTTGACTCTGCAAGTTGCTGACTTCTTTACCAAGACTCACACCACTGTTCGGTTTCAATTTTTTCTTGACAAACTCTTGAGTTTGAGCGGGGTTGTAAGAATATACCTATATTCAGTTTCTCCTTTTTCCTTTTAGGCTTAGGAATTAAAGGTATATTATAATTCTATATCAATGATGTATTCGTTTAGGCGTAGGAATTAGTGTTCTATATAAGTATCAATCCCTACCTTACAGGTGATGACAAGTGCCAGCAGGCATGAACACTAGACAGGCTATTCTTTGTGTTTATCTTTTTGAGAATGTTAGCGCAAGCCATAGGATAATTGGGCCTGCGTTCCTTATTATTTTTGATGTATTTTACTGTAAATTACTTCATGGTTTGTAACTTAAATATTGTATTTTTTCTTTTGTATTATGAAGTGTTTGTTTTCATTCACACCGGGATGCGTGCCGAATGAGATTGAGCCATTGTGTTGAGAGAACTTCATTTTAGACTAAGACTAGACTCTGATTTTTCAAAAAACTATAGAATTGGACATATTTACCAATGCAACTGGATTTTATCAGAAGTTCATCTATTTTGTCATTTTAAAGTAAAATAATGATAATAAGAGGAAATGAAGCATATTTTTTGAGTTTAACAAAATAATCGCTCAAGGGCATGTTTCACGAGGCCAACCAAAATTTTGCAAACTTGAGGAAAATGGCTAAGATGATTTGAGAATGGATAAGGATAAAATGGATACGTCTATTAAAAAGATCATGTTTAAGTTAATTAGTTTGCGCCTAATTAACTTCTTAAAATCCGGGGCGTGACATGTTTGTACCAGTGCATGTTTCTACTTATAAATGGCTGATGAGCTTGATATTCTAAGTTATATTGTTAATGTTTGCTTCTTTTAGACGAAAAACTGTGGTTGTTTTATGACTTGGGAGAATTTAAAGTTTGTTGTGCATTATTGTTTACTGAATTAAACTCCGTTGATTGGAATTCTGTTACATGAAAATCAATTTGTTTGTGCAGAAGTTGGGCGTATTGGTATTGGTATTTGTTATGACATCCGGTTTCAGGAACTGGCAATGTTATATGCAGCTAGAGGTTTGTTTGGTCCCTTAAATTTTCTTATTATTGATGTTCCTTCTTTGCCATGTGATTATCATTGGTTATAAACATGTAGTTTCATGTAGATGATCACTTACATATGTATAGACTTTTTGTAACTTTAGCCAAAAACATTCACATTGAACATGGAGCAATTGTCAATTTCTTAGAGGCTGTCACCTCAAAAGCCAACAAACAGTAATTTTCAAATGGTGAGTGCAAAGAATACATGTGGCTAAAGGAAACAGCTGGTGTTAAGAGCTGTAACATTAAGGCCTCTGAATCTCTCGTCTTTGAGGTGAGAGTTTCATTGCTAAAGGCCTCCTATCTATGTTTCTCTTGCGCATTCTTGTTGTGTAAGAGGAAGGTATTCCCAGATGGTTCTGTTTTAATAAAGTTAAATTCTGTTGTACTTTTTAAATTTTTATTCTTTGATCTCGATGGCTGTAAGTTGTTCATTCATTTTAAAATCAGTTTTTCTGTGACATCACTCTTTGGTCTCATTGAGTTCATCACATTTTCTACGCTTACTCCTTTCCTCAGTGTAATAGTTTTTGCCATGATGCCATTTACTCGGATAAAATTAGTGTTTTTGAATCATAATATATGATTGTTACCTTCCTTCTGTGATTCTGCTTCAGGCAGTTTAGTACGTTATTGGACCCTTTTCTTTGACATAGTTGTTGAATTTGTATTACACTATATATGTTGATTGCAATGCTTTTAAGGACCTGCTGATGAACATTGTCAGTACCACTTGTGGACATCAGGTGCTCATTTGATCTGCTATCCTGGTGCATTTAACATGACGACAGGACCATTGCATTGGGAGTTATTGCAGAGGGCAAGGTAAAAATATGTTTTAGTGATTGGCGCTGAGATGTTTTCCTCAAGAACTTCGCCATATTATGCCCTCTTGATATTTTAATGCCATCAAGTCACAAGTCATTGTTAGCCTATTCCTAGATTTCATCCTCATGCTTAATCATGTTCTCAGAATTGGGATTGCAACACATCTAGGCCATTGATTGATCTGCTAAGATTGCACGGAAAATGTCCAAAATTGTTAAATTGATTATGGGATATTGTTTCATCAATCAAATCAGATGTTGAGAATTTTTAAAGTAGTTGCTGAAGAGATGCTTTCTCTGTGGCATTGTTTGTCATAAAGTTTTTGTTTGGAACACACACATAATGATTTAGGGAGTTTGAATTGGTGGCATGAGTGTATCCTTTCCTTGGTGTCTGTGTTTTGTCAAACAATTATTTATGTTGTAGGTTATACAAAAGTAATATTATGCATGTAAACCCATATCCAATCACATCCTCAGTAATTACTAGTATATAAGAATAAATATGGAATAAATAATTACTTCTTTATACCTGTCCTTATGCTTGTGCACTTGTTTAATACGCTTTCCGTGTCTACAATTGGATACTCCCAACATTGTTCTTTGTATCTAATAAATAACTCAAAATGATCTTAAACCACCATCCTTTCAGTTTAATGCTTTCAAGTGCCTTCATGATATTCAAAGTCTTAAGGGAGTATAAATGAGTGATCTGTGCAACATGTGCTCTATTTATGTTGTTTCTACTTGTGTTTATATTTTACTGATTGGTTTTAATCATTTATGTTTGCCGATGCAGGGCTGCTGATAATCAGGTATTCTATTTACTTCTTCTATTTAACAGTATTTCTGTCTACATTCGTCTCATGAGCCATAACCATTTTTTTTTTCCAATAAAATTTGTTGTCTATCTCGACGATGCTAATTTTCTTAGTTGGGATGAAATTTTGAACTCAGTACAGACTTAACAGTTTTAGAATTTACTGATATGTTCATGATCATCTGTTTTATTATACATTCCAACCTGGTTTCGTGAGGTTCTTGAGAGAACTGCACTGTTTCCATTGTTCCTATGCTGGGAACATGAGAAGCACTGACACAGACATGGGTATGGACACACGCACTGATTTTGAAAAAAATTAGGATACAAACGTGATGGGGATATGCTATGAAGCATGTGTGCGGGTATGTATACTAGTATGGGTACATTATGGGTACGCCGATATGACAAGACCTAAAGAAATAGGGTACGGGGACAACTGGGGTACGTCAATAAATTTTTTATTTTTTATAATTTATAGTTTGAGATTCAATGTACAAATCAAACTTCAACACCAAAACTAAAAGGGGAAATTACAAAACCAAAAAAGAAATCATAGTTTAATAATATCAATACCAAAGCAAAGTCAATAAACTATTTTAATGACATTAAATAGGAAAATTTACAAAGCGAAGTTTCATTCAAAAAAACAAGCTAAGCAAAATTTGAAAACTTGAAACTTCAATTTTCACTTTTATCAACTTCATCATTGGATAATACATTATTTATCTCTGGCATATCAAGTAAAGGATTTGCAATTTCAAGTTAATCAGAACTCTCTAATAAATGAAACGTATCTACACTAATGTCTCATAGCCTGCTGTACCCCTCCCGTACCCACTGAATACCCACTGAATACCCACGGAGTACCCAACTGTCAAAAAATGTATAAAAAGTATCCGGTACGCATTTCGAGTATCCGGTGCGTTTGTAGCCCTATCAGTACGCGTACTAGTGTCCTGTACGAATGTGGCAACATTTTCAGAGTACTTGTGCTTCATAGGGGATATGGAATATATATTATATATATATTTATAAGAGTCTTTTGATTCATGGATGCACCTCATATCTTTGTGCCCTTAATTTAAATCTATATACATAGAAAATAGGCACTATAGAGAGAAAGGGGGAAAACCTCCTTGGTGGAATGTCCCCAGCCAGGGAGAAGAAAAGCTGTGACTGGCTTGAGGGGTGGTAGTGAATTGGGTAAGTAAGCAAAGACGTGTGTATTTTTGTTTTGTTTTGTTTTTTTTTTCCCCCCCACTTTCCCCCTTCTTTGTTTATATATTTTACTTTGACTCTAAATCAGCATATCGTTCTGGTAGATGAAATGGGCTCTTGAATCCACGAGAAAGATAAAATCTTGAATCCACACGGAAAAGAAATTATGAATGTTATTGATCAAAAGTTATTTTGCCTTTAGGCTTGCATAGCTAACCAAGCAATTTAAATTTAGGAAACAATTAACTAGTCTAATTCTTGGAAAACAAGTAACCTAAAACTTAGGGAAAAAAAATAAAATAAAATAAAAACAAATTAAGAAACCTAATCATTCTAAAATATTTATACTAAATTACATCCTTAACAAAATACTTTTTACAAAATATTAAAAATAAAATTATAGAAATTTCTAAAATCTTGTCTTACATTAGACTACTCTTCTTCGAAAGAACTTGAACTTGAGTTCGAACTAGAGATCTGCTATCTTCCATGTCAAATAAAATGATACTTGGAAAACTTTAGTTGTTTGTTCATCTTCCAAAAATTGTTTACAAAAAAGTGTACTTTCCGAAAGCTCTTCTATGTATGCTTCAATTGGTTGACAAGATCAACTAGACGAACTTTGGGAATCAAATTAAATTGTTCCACACCAAGAAAATCAACATAATGTATTTTATGTTGACATTGCATCTTCTCATGACTTTTCATTGTCTTTGATTCAGTTGAGCCTTTAGTTATCGACCTTGGAACGTCAAATACATGCCCAATTAGTTTGTTGGTTGCATGAGGAAACTCTATTACCTTATCTTCTATTGCCTCTTCGTCATTAGCATTATGCTTCACCACCTTGAATACATCATTATTCTGGTACCACAAAGTCCCACATTGACCAATTTCGTTCTATTGAACTTTGATAATTTCTTCTTCAACTGGGCTAATATATTTGTTCTTCACATTCTCTTTGATATTCAATGCTGTTCTTTTTCATCAGCATCAATATTGTTCCTTACATTTGGTTCAACTATGATGACTTCCATTGCTTCTTCATCAATTTCAACCTTTTCACTGTTATCAAATTCAACTTGATCGTCTATTTTCATTGAGTCTCTCTGTGGGTCTTCAAAATTTTCAAACATTGGAGTACTTGAAATCTTCTCTTTCAATGTTTGGTTGACCATGGACACTTGACAAACCAACTGCCTTGTTCCGTGAATAATCTATATCCACTGTCACATAATAGTTATCAAAGTACAAAAAATATTGTGAATCAAAATTACCTTGAAATAATTGTTTCGATTCAAGCCTCTGATATTGTTGGTACAACAGCTGTCCATAAGTTGATTGAAGGAATTTGGCACTCATCAACTTCTTCATCTTGTGCCATGTCCTAATGGGTTGTTTATATTGTCGTGTTCGATCATATTGCAATTGCTCCCACCATGTAGAAATATAACCTTGCAACTTACATGCAACATATTTTGCTTACTTTTCTTCGTGGATTTTCATGTACTCAAAGAATTCGTCAACTTTACGGAACCAATAAATAAAATTCTTAGCATAGCAATAAGCATTAAAATTAGAAATGTCTGGTTTTACCTAAATTTGTAAAGCCATGATTCATTGTGATTATGCCTTTTGAACTTGTCACAGATTTTTCTCTGTTGCCTTACCAACTGATATTCACCAGAATCTTTGATTCACTCATTTTTCAGATTCATTTGTCACTATTGCTTTGATAACAAAAAGATCATCTCAAGATGTTTTGGGCAAATACCATTGCGCGATTCCTATTAACATTGTGATTCACAAGCTGACCTTGGGAAATACCCTTGGCATGGATCCTGTTAAATATTTCCCTACGATCTGCGTCAATAGGGCTTGTCCTTCCTACTTTGATGAATGGCATCGAGCCAGGCAAATCCTTGGTTTGATACCACTTGACGGAACGCAATACACATGAAAACTAGATATCGTTCTAGTAGACGAAATAGGTTGTCAAATCCACGAGAAAGATAAAACCTTGAATCCATAAGGAAGAGAAATTATGAATATTATTGATCAAAAGTTATTTTGCTCTTAGGCGTACATATTTATTTATAATAAGTCTTAGAGACCAAGCAATCTAAAATAAGGAAACAATTAACTAGTCTAATTCTTGGGAAAAAAAGTAACCTAAAAATACAAAAAACAATATCAAACAAATTAAGAAACGTAGTCATTTCAAAATGCTTATACTAAATTACAAGCTTCCTAACAAAATACTATATAAAAAATATAGAAATTCCTAAAATCTTGTCCTACATCACATGGGCATGACACTCATTTTGGAGTGTCCGTGCTCTCTAGCTGGCAACTAATTGTGGTGTATCAACCAACTTGGTGTATGAACCTCCCATATTATAATATTAACATTCTGTTCAACGGAGACTAGTACTTCTAAGGTTTCATCAGAAGAGCTAATAGTAGTAGAATCTTATAAAAGATTGAATTAGTGCTCCACCAGACAGTTAGAACAAGGTGCTGAAACTCACTAAGATTTCCATGTTAAGAGAAAACAATTGTGATTTTGTAACCCCACTTCTTTTGTAAAAGTTAAAGAACATTGGCAAATGCCTGACCAATCCACTAAGAACTGATGACGATTATATCTTCTTCTTGTGTTATTTCAACCATAAAATATTCTTTCTTAGCAGCTTCCTCTGTATTTTAATAGTTCAAACCACACAAGACCAAATAGCTGACAGTATGGCTGCAACTGTGTAAACATGTAAATTAACCTCCTTAATAAAAGTAAATTTCCTAGGAAAGGACATACTGTTTCAGCATTTGTTGGACATATCAAGTTCGGCTATTTCTTTGAAGCATTGCAATTCCAAATTGGAGAAATCAAATATCATTAACTTAACATCTGAATATTTTTCTTCTGTGTGACAATCACTCTCAACTTCCCAAAGCTGTTGTAAAACACTGGTGTATGCCTAGCATTTGAAGAGAGGAGTGGGGCTAATTTAATTAAATATTTCTTACAGTTGTCCATATAGTGTATGCGTATAAAGTTCTTTCCACATAGTGGGCCTTTAAATTCAATATTTCTTACTGTTGGCCATATAGCATACATGTATAAAGTTCTTTCCCCATTGCCTCTCGCTTTTTTGAAGATATTTTTAAGTGTACTTGTAGAAAAATTTCTTTTGTAACAGTTATATGTTGTAACTTGTTCACCTGCTCGTGATGCTGGTGCTGGTTATGTTGCTTGGGGCCACTCCACACTTGTTGGACCTGTAAGTAAATACATCAACTGAGCTTTCTTGCATACTATTGGTGAATATATTATAGCTAGGGGCAGAGCCATAAATTTTGGTTAGGGGCTGCCAAGTACAAAATTTGAGTTTATTGGTACATCATTACTATTAGAAAACAATTTTTACATTAGTGTTATGGAATAAATATTTTATTAGAGTAAAATAAATAAATCTATGACACTCATTTCTTATTAATTTTCAATTATTTTATATAGTTTTTGAGCTATCTAATTAGGATGTTACTAACCACCATTTTAAAGCATTTTATTGGTTGATATAATTGACATCTCAATGGTTTCTGTAACTGAATAATCGCAACAAATTACATTTACATCTTGTACAAAGCAAATCAATGGAATTGATGCTGTTATGTAATACATGAAATAGTTGGGCCCCCATAAAATTATACATTGAAGGAACACTTGTGAAATAGCGTGCTAGTATGGGAATTTTTTAAAAAAATTGAGGGGGCTATGGCCACCCTTGGCCTATTAATTGTTCCGTCCTTGATTATATCTATATCCATTCCTCTGCAAACAATTCCCCTGTTCAGCAGATGGATGGTAGATTAGATAAAGCCTGAGATTTAAACTGTGATTCGTCATTTATTTTTCTTTGTTTTTCTTGTAAATTTCAACATCAACTAAGTCCTTACTCATAGAAATGAATGTGGCAGTTCGGAGAAATTTTGGCTACTACGGAACATGACGAGGCCATAATCATATCAGAGGTTGATTATTCACAAATTGAGCTCAGGAGGTGAATAACTGTCAACCTGAAGGATAGTTTTTATTTTAATGATAGTTTTAGTTTAAACATGCTTTATGCTTTCCTTTTGCTTTGTTTGCTTGTTTTAAATGTGGAGCAAATTTAACAAACCAAAAAAGGAATTTGGTTTCTGGTGTCTTTCTACTGTTTTGTTTATCTATTTATTTATTTGATAAGTAGATTTTGATACTACAATCTACATGTGAAGGTAAATACCAGGTGTACATGTAAGGTATGAAGGAGAACTAAATAAAGGAAAAAAAAGAAAAAAGAAAAAAAAGAGCTCCCCAGAAAAACCAATTCCCTTAATATTTCTACAAAACCACGTCCAGATTCCAAGTTCTAGAGCTCCAAAATTGTTGTCTATGACAACAAAATTTTCAGTTAATGCACCAAGATCTCAGATTCCTTGATATTTGCCAATTCTTCTCTTTTCAGATCACCATAAGACAAAGGGGTTGCTTGCTGTGCATCCGTTAGCATCCTACTAGAACAGTCCCATATGCTGCCAAACCACCTTGGCATAACCCAATGAATGCCCATCTTAGATTGCTCCCACCAGCTGGCCACTCGTTCCTGAAATATGGTATCAACTATGGGAACTTGCTTATTTTTTGGCACCTCTTTGAACTCCAGCACCTTTTCCACTACATTAATCCAATCCTTTTTCTTTTTTATTTTTTATTTTTTCCCCACAACCCTTCTTGGAACTCAGGAATATCAATCTTAATTCCTGATTCCCATCACCTCGAATCTCCGCTATGGTTCATTGGTCTCCCTACCTTAGACCGTGGAGGCATTTGACCTCTACTTTTCCCTTTGGTTTTCTTTTTGTTCATATTCTCCAGAGCAATTAAGGGAATAAAACTTTATTCTCACTGATATTAGGAGCCTTATTCTCTGTCAAAATTTCCGTCCTTGCATCATTTCCAATTTCCCGTGTGGGAATTTTCAGCCAATTGATCTTGTCTTGAGTTTGTTTCATTATTAGTAATAGCATGTCCTGAGTATATGAATCTTGAACCCCAAACATCTGGTTTGCTGTCTGTTGCTCTTCATGTTCAGTATTTTCATGACTAACATCAGCCCTACACTGACCTTCCAAATTGCTATTTTCAGTAGAGATTGAGCTATCACCAGAGTTTGCATTGCCAACTGAAATGACTTGTTTTCGAGTAATAGTTTCCAACTTTTTCCCCTTACCAGTGTTCCAGCTCCATTTTTTCCTTCCATTGAGTGACTATCTTCTTTTCACATGGATGATGATTATGACCATAGATTTCACATTTAGAACACCCTGATGATTTCCATGGATAAGTCGAAGTAATTTGAATACTTTTCACAATTGGAAATTGCACTTCAATCTCAACAGGATATTTATCATCTGTATTTACTTCTTGCAGATATTTTGAAAAACTCAGTGATGGAGAACCAGATTGATAGGGAGGGAAACACAAACAGCCATACCTTTTTACTCTCAATTATACTAATCCATCAACTGATCATTACAATGTTAAAACCCTAATATCTATAGGACGAAAACCCTAATCTTATTAGGAACTTTCCTAATATTGTTTGGGAAACAAAATCAAATCACATACTAATACCAAGTAATTAAATCTAACTTAACATTGATAATAATATTCTACCAATTACATTTATGAGACGAAAACACCTTCGGACCCACGGGTTTTACCCTAGGCTTCCAAATCCAATAATGGGCTTCTAAAGAGTCAAGGACTGCACTGTTACTCAGTCTTTTGCATTGCTCAGTTAGTATATCTGCGTACAAAGGTCTCCCAACTGCACGTTCAACATAGCTAAGACCACCTTCTGTTCATAATTCCAGTGTTGTAAAAGTGAGCCCAAACATGGATTCTATCAACCTTCTCCTTTGAAAACTTCATTTGAGGTTGCCATTTCTTCAATAGCATATAACAGAAAAATGCCAAGATCCTGCTTCTAGTATATCTCTTTTTGTTTTTAAATTGAAAGAAGAAAAATCCATAATTGTTCCTAAATACCTTCATAAGACCATATTATTCCATATTCTGTTTGCAATGTTCTTGACAGCAAAATAAGAAGTCTTCTGACAAGAAAATAATCAATCGAAATTCCCAATTTCTGCAGTGTTCACTATCACCTTCTCATCCTTGACTATAGGTGGTGGATAGTATTTGAAATTCATACTCATTTTGTTGAGTGTTTGTTACCTTGTGTGAGTAATTCTTTCCAAAGCTACAGTTTTCTGTATTTGGCCAACATCCTTTCCCCTCCAAGTTCACTATTATCAATTTTGACAGTAGTATCATTGGTAGCTGCTGTTTGTAAAATTTTCCCCCAGGTATTGGAAGAATCTCTAGGTCTCCATTGTTGACTACCAAATCTATTATGATCTCTGGCAGATTTTAATTGAGGCTCGCTGTTTGTGGCTGGAGATTTCATTCTAGATACTGTTTGATTTACCATCTGATCTTTGATTTCAAGATCTCTCCTGAATAGGAGAATTTGGCTATGCCTCTGACCAAATTGCTGTAGTTCCATTAGCAATCTCAGTAGTCATTTTGTGTTAACCATACTTATTTATCAGTAGTGGTTTATTTGGTCTAAGAAGTATGAACACTTCTAAGAAGGTAATGTGTCGTGTCTAACACTGACACGGCACGACATTCATCAGACACTTTTTGACACTCACTCACACAAAACACATTACAACTTTGAAGAAAATAAATTGGAATCCAATAATAAGACAAAAACTATGTAAAATTAGACATATTCTCCTCTTTTAGACTTTAAAATTTCGACTTAAATATATATACATGACATAATAAATATTTATCATTATATGATGCATAATAAATGTATATTTTGGACATGTCCCCCATGTGTTTTGTCTTACATATTTTGAAAATTTTTGTATCGGTGTGTCCGTGTCGTATCACATGTCCATGATTGTGCTTCTTAGGCTCTGGTATATCAATGATAAACGGGCGTACTCAGTGCACGAAGCTCTTGCTTAAGCGGGATTTGGGGAAGGGTTGATGTACGTAGCCTTACCCCAGCAAGCGGAGAGGTTGTTTCCGCTTTGGTATATCAATGATATTCATCGATATTCCATTAATCTCAGACAGTTGACCAGTATGATTTTCCTCCATTGTTATTTGATTATTAACATCATATTAAGACTTGCAGTTCATCGTTGCTCCATAAGTTTCATAAATTTGAATGGCTAGGGTTTCCTGCATTACTAAGGCATTAGATTCCTCTTTGAAAGCTTTACAATTCTTTGAGCCTGAGAGTTGAGAACTATAAGTAGGGGAATTGATCTCGAATGTAGAACCGGCTTTCTACTTCAAGGCATCCTCCCTGACCTCCATTGATTGGGACACATTACCAACATCATCCACATCATCAGGTGTCCAATCCTGCATTGCCTTCAGGTGTGTTTGGTTTATGGATTTGGGGAGGGATTTGAAAATGGAAAGGGAAAGGGAAAGGGAATGGAGGTGAATGTAAGTTATATTTCATTCATATTTCACCTACCTTTCCCTTTCCCTTTCCCTTTCCAAATCCATCCCCAAATCCATGAGCCAAACCCAGCCTTGAAAAAGAGGCACTCAGAATTCCCAGTTCTGTGAATTTAATCTTTTGTATACCCCCTTACTTGGTAAAGGCAACAGTAAAGCGGGCCAGGAACACTTATTTTAAATGAGGATTCAGGATGCCCAGTATTTCCTATTGTTTGGGGCCACTTTTGAATGTAAAGGAATTACTAGAAAACTCTCACAAAGTTTCAAACACTTTTGAACATATTTTTCTGGCAGAAGAAAAGTTTCTCACAGAAATGTGTTTTCCTTTTAAATCATTCAATTGTTTTACACTTAATTCTATCATTATTTGATTATATATATACATATATATTCAGGACAAGCCTTCCATTGGAGAAGCAGCGCCGAGGTGATCTTTATCAGTTGGTGGATGTTCAGAGGCTCAACTCCTGAACAATAATACTAGTTGATTTTATTTGATGTGCAGAAGAGATTTCATCACTGAGATGCTATGTACAATAGTATCTAGTATTTGATATTTTGGTGTAATTGAGATTTGTAAGGTTCTGCTTTACCATGTGGAGAACTGAATGCTGAAAACGTATGCAGAAACTATAATTTCTAGCAGAAAAGATTGTTAGTTCCTTGGTTTTCATAGGTTGCATACTTCTTATTTTTGTGTGACTACATACTCCCGTATGGAAAATTGGTTGGTATATATCTATATCAATTCTATTATATAAAGCAAAAGGCTGAGTCAGTGTAAAGTAAATAAGTTGTTTATGTTTTAGCAATATGCAAATGCTACCTTATCTGACAACTACCTCATTTAGAGGTACGAGTATTTTTTGGGCATAAAGATAGACAATGGAATTATCTACAACTAAATTACTACAACTACCTTTTATTATACAGGCATAAATTTAGAGGTTCGAGAATTGAAGAGGAGGAAGACCTACTATAGCCACATTAGGTGGTTACTAACACCACTTCGAAATTTTTGTAGCCATATCGTTAATAAAGAATTGTATTATTCATTGGACCAATAGTCATCTGTTCGGTAGGTTCTGTGCAACTATGGTTTTTGTAGTCCATGTTATGCAAGCAATAGGTAATCCTAAGAAAACCGGAACTCTCCAATTCAGTATGTAGAACTAGAATGCAAGTTGCGTGATTGTTTGATTTCCCACAAATGAGAAGTCTTCAAGCTTGACCCCTCCCATACATGGGCAACTGGCTGGGGAAAGAACCTGAAAGGTTCTTTAGCTTAATACAGTCAGAAGAGCCCCAACTATCCCGCTTCAAGCCATGTTGTTTAGTCTCCAGGCAATGTTGCTTATTTGCGGTCGCATGTTCATTAACTTCCCTCAAAGTAAGACATGCCTTTCTTGGGTTTGTAATGCCTCCATATATGGGGTTGCATCTCATTAGCTATAGACACTATGATCGCATGCATAGCCTTACCAGACCAGAACAATAGCTTCTTGCACGCCACATCCTACGATTCACCTTCTGCACCACCGAAAATTATCCAACATTCCTGGCCAATCAAATACTTTACCTCTTCACTTCAATTTACATAATTTTTGCCATGCTAGAGTATTTACATAATTTTGTGCCATGTTGGAGTGAGCAGCACACAATTGACAAGCCAGACATTATTTCCAATGTAAAAAATAAAAATAAAAAATAAATTCATTTGACGATCTGATTCTGAAGGAGAATACTTTTCCGACAAAACTTCCGTTATTGGGTTAGCTTTACACTTCACATGTTTCTAGTGATTCACATGGCATCATCAAATGATACAAGTCTTGGATAAGAATCTACAATGCACTAGAGAGCCTTTGTAGAGTTCCTCGAACAATGTGATATCTCACACTAGGTAAATCCTTTACCCTTTCCCTCTTACTAAGACTACATAATGTTCTTATGAATTATGGCTAATATCAGGTATATAAGCAGTGATTTCAAATCTAGAGGTTAATCGTACTTTGGCAACTTTACATAAGGCAGAGTTTGGTTTTTTAGGGGTGATAGTGGAAAAGTTGACAGATAATTCACCTTTACTGCCACTCTACAGAACCGTACACGAGATTTTCACCTCATACGGTCCACGTTCAATTCTTTTGAAGTCATTGGATCCTTTTCCTCATTTGAGAATCTCCTCCTTTCTTGCACTTCGTCCCGATGGGATCAATTTAGACACGTTTTCATGTTCCAATTGAACACTTTCTATTTTTTATATTTTTTTATTATATTCTTCTCAAAGGAGAATATTATTCTCTTTACCAAACATATGCGCTCCAATTACAATCTTATAATAAGAACAAGAGACTTTCTCGATCAATCTCTTCGCCCTTTATTCCTCGAGAATTAGAAAGATCATTTTCAAGTTTGAATTTGTTCATTTGCAATCTGGGCTCTTCTACTTCATTTTTATTTACTTATATTTTATTTAATATTTTTATATCATTCCTTAAGTCCCATAGGTTTGATCCTGTAGATTTTCACTCATTTTCTCATTGAGCGAGGGGTATGAAATAAATCAGATTGATTTTTGATCAAAAGTTGTCACAACCCAAATCCCGCCCCATGAGGGTCGGTGAGGTGACCGGCTAGTAATCCGAGATTACCAAAAACCTTTCTATATAAATCAAAATAATCGGGGCTAACGGAAGCAATATACAAAAATACCAATAGTCCAATGAACTGTGCATCAATATGAACAAATATTTACATACATAAACGTTAATTTACCTACATAGCAATACATATCTTATGACATCTTGTACAAAACATGTACACATCCATATACCGAAACATATACTTGCTATAGGTCATCACGACCTAGACTGAAAACAGTGGCTTGGCAAAAGTGTTTTTCTAAGCTTGATCTTTGGATCGCCCACCTATATAATATAATAAACAGTGGGCTAAAACTCAGTGAATAACAAATGTGTAAAGGAGTTTATGAATGATGTCCTTACAACAATTCAAAACAGTCAGATTCAGTAGTGAATAAATTCACAAAGTAGTATTTCATAACATATCATTCATTTTGAATCGTAGCAGTCATACGTGATATATCCAATAGCAAAACAGTACAATAGGTCTTAAAGACCAAAATAGTCATGTAAGATGGCCATCAACACAGTAAACAGTAGTTCCAAAGATTGGAACTGACAGAAATCTCTGTAACAGTAATACTAACAGTAGCAGTAGTAGTTGCTATGGATGCCATGAGTATAGTTCATAAAATAGGATAATCATTCATTCAGTAAATTTATTCAGTAAACAGTATCATTTCAGAAAATAGTGAATTATATCAATCAGAAAATAATTATAATTGAACATAGCTTTACAACATTGTTACTCACAGTGAGCTTCCAGTAACGATTGTGCGGTCTCCGACTCGACCTACAATTACAATGCACATAACACAACACATGTGTTATCAATACACATTCGATTCATACAGTCGATTATTAACTTATTCAGTTCATCATTTACTTGATCATTTGGTTATTTTATTCATTCTTTGATTTCCTTGATGTCCATGAAATGCATATGAATGTCAAATACATGTGAAAACCATGCAATCGAAGGCTCGGAAGTTGGAAAAACGGAAAGAAAACAAATTCGGACCTGCCTTGACACCGCACGTACGGGAGCCCCAAACCGCACATGCGGAGTAAAGTAGTAGGCATACCCAAATTTTCCCTGTTTTCCGTATGTGCGGGCCTCACTTCCGTACGTGTAGTTCTGTCTAGAACCAGTTCGAAAATTTGTCTTTTGTTTGGAATACAATGTTTTCAAAATCTAATTCCAAATCCATATATTTCAAGGCTCCAAATTCATAAAAACATGCTGAATTTAATTTAACATACTTAGCTTTAAACAAAAATGGGAAATTTGGCTATAAACTCCCTTTACCTTCCTTTCATTGTTAAAAGGACTAAGAAAAAAATTATACTTTCTAAACCTCCTCATAATTATAAAGTCTTGCATAAATGACAAATTTATTATTTAAATATTTTATATGACTATTATACCCACTCTCTTCCCCACTCTCTTCTTTTCCACAGATGGCCTCTTCAAGAAGACCGGCGAGCTCTGCAACTTGTGCGGCACCGAAGCCTCCGTCATCACCTTCTCCAACGCCGGCAACACCTTCGCCTTCGGCAACCCTCCATCGACTCCGTCCTCGACCGTTACCTCTCCATGACTTCATTATCCTCCAGAGCCTCCGCAAGCTTCTCTTTCCTCTTTCGATATAGGGTTTCAACTCAAATTTGTGCACCATGAACGATTCCGATCTCTAAGCTCCCGAGATATATATATATATATATCTATATATATGTGTGTGTTTGTGTGTTTTGAGATTTGAATTCGAATATATGTGTTTTGAGATTTGAATTCGAATATATAGATTTTTGAAAGCTCAAAGTTTTAAAAATTTGAAAAATCTGAAGAACCGGGGTATGAAATATTGAGATTTCTCTAAAATTTTCAGATTATAGGCCTGATTCAAGGATTATAGGCATGATTCAATGTTTTTCAAAGTAAACATCGATTGATTCAAGGATTATAGGCCTGATTCAAAGCTCAAAGCTCAAAGCTCAAAGTTCAAAGTTCCATCGATTTTTCAGAGTAAACATCAAATTTCATTTGATAGAACCAGAGTAAAATTTTACTCTGGTTCTATTGCTCTGTTTTTTTCATTTGACAGAACCAGAGTAAAATTTTACTTTTATACAGAGTAAAATTTTACTTTTAGCTTCAGAGTCTTACAGTTTACTTATTTTTCAGAGTAAAATTTTACTTTTATACAGAGTAAAATTTTACTTTTAGTTTCAGAGTGTAAAATTTTACTTTTAGTTTCAGAGTGTAAAATTTTACTTTTAGTTTCAGAGTGTAAAATTTTACTTTTAGTTTTACAGAGTAAAATTTTATTTTTAGTTTCAGAGTGTAAAATTTTACTCTCATTCATAGTAAAATTTTACTTTTATACAGAGTAAAATTTTATACAGAGTAAAATTTTATACAGAGTAAAATTTTACTTTTAGCTTCAGAGTCTCACAGTTGACTTGTTTTTCAGAGTAAAATTTTACTTTTATACAGAGTAAAATTTTACTTTTAGTTTCCGAGTGTAAAATTTTACTCTTATTCAGAGTAAAATTTTACTTTTATGCAGAGTAAAATTTTACTTTAGTTTCAGAGTGTAACATTTTACTCTTATTCAGAGTAAAATTTTACTTTCATACAGAGTAAAATTTTACTCTGAAATACACAGTGAAGATGGCTTAATAGGAGAGCTGATAGATATGAGGGTAATATAGTAAAAGAAACAAGTTTTAAAATATTAGAGGGTTTTGAAAGTACTTATATAATTCTTGTCCTTTTGAAAGACAAATTAGATAGTGAGGGGGCTATCACCAAATCCCCCAACAAAAATCATAAACTTAAATTGAAGCTCACATTTCATGCAAAAGCCCCAAACCCTTGAATTAAAATACCAAATTCATAATCTTGAGCTTCAATCTTCGAAATTCATGGAGGTTTCCTTCTCAAGTTAGAAAACTCATGCAATACACTTTCAAAACATGGAAATATACATGAACTATAATTCAATTTTCAACTCAATAAATCAAACTCCTTTTTAATTTTCCAAATCAAGTTCTTAATTCCCATGAACTCATGACTTTCATTGTCACGACCCAAATCCCGCCCCGTGAGGGTCG